ACAAAAATTAGGCAAGAAAGTGCAAAACTTTCTAAAAATGATCTTTCTAAAAATATGAGACTTGTTTTCAAAGAAATAGAAAAATTAATTCCAAGTCAAAAATAGGAAATCACAAAATATCTATATTTTTAATTCAAAATCTCAATTTTTATGCAAAATCCAAAAATCAACCAATTAATCCAATAATGTATAAAAAGTTCATTTAAGCTCAAAATTATCATTTAAATCCTAAATATTGTGGGATAAAATATATAAAAATTGGGCTTTATCAACTAATTTAAGTCAGTTAAAAATGTTAATTAAATTAGTTAATATGATTTTTTTTTTCTAAAACACTACAATTATTTTTCTTTTTTCCTTATCTCCCTCTTCTATATGATTATTATTGAGAATATCAATAGAGTTTATTTAGAAAAAAAATTGATAAATATAAGAAATAAGTCTTACATATAAGATTAACATCAACTCTCAAATTATGTTATACAATAAGGACTGGAGTATAATTTTAGGGCATATCTCTGGATTTTTTTTCACTCTTCAAATGATTTGTCATGTCCTAAGTTCTTGTGGAGGATTTTTGTAATTTTTATTTGATTGATTCATGTTTTCACAAAGAATGCATGTAGTCAAAAGGAAAAAAAAAAAATGTAAGAATAAAGTATTAATTCATCATACCAAAAAGCTGTTGGCTAAGATAATAAGCTGTCTTATTCTCGTAAAGAAAAGAGCACGAGTTTAAATCGCAAGAAGCAAATCATATCGTTTGGATAAAATGGATGACCAATGAAAAAACTTGTAGGGGGTAAGAATTCAGACACTTCCAACATAAAAAATGTGAACACTTGTATCACAAAGAATCTAAACACTTGTAAATTCATATACAAAAACTTCTAAATCCAAAGCATTTGGAAACTTATATAGGGAAGGGAATCCAAACACCTGTCCATGTTTTTAGATACAACTAAAATGAATTCAGCAATATGTTATATCTTCTCATTATGGGTGGAAAGACTAACACATCCTACTACAATGATAATGAAATGTTTGAAAAGATAATAGCATATAAATCGCTTATGTTCTCTTGCTTTGCAGTGCTTTTTATTTGTAATAACACAGAAATTAAAAGAAAATGAAAACTAAAAAAGTGAAAAAAAAAGAAAACGAAAAAGGAACATATGTTATGAAATAAATAAAAAGAAACAATAGAAAAAACGGGAGCACGTATTAGCACTCTGTTTATATTAAAGAACATATTTTTTGTAAAATTATATTTCAATGTAAAGTAATCCAAAAAGCAAATGACATCAAAGTCATCAAAGCATAAAGATAAATATATTTCTAGTCATTCACAGTTGAAGTGAACTTTCCAATGAACTGTAAAACAAAAATTAACTCTTTAATCATCTCTTATATTTAGGACATCAAAATAATAAAAATAAATATCAAAGAATGACACAATCACAATGCATTAAATTGTGTACATATGTCTAGATAAGAGGGGCGTATTTTGTGAATGAAAGAAAGAAATCAGTTTCTATTGAAAAAAGATAAAGTACACTGCATTTGTATTATTTTTGCATAAATGTTAATCAAGCAAAACAAAATTTTAAAGAAATATGAATTATTTTCATTTTACTCAAATTTTTATTCCATTTGTGAGTCATTTTCACATGCCATTGGGCTTTACCAAAAGCCCAACCAAAGTTACAACCCATCATTACGGGCCTCTGACTGTGTTCCATCTTCTTCTTTGGGTTTGAATGGGGGATGTATACATACAGCAGAACGAAATAGAAATAAAATACAATGGGAAAACACTTTTTATATATGTTAATTGTCTTTTGTTGCTTTAATTAAGCAAACAAAAAAAATAATGAATAATAATATTCCTTGATCCGAAAATAATAATATTACCTCTGACATGTTTTGTGAAATGTTAATTTGCATATATAAAACATTCAAAAATTTAGTTAACAGTCTCTGTTGAAAACTTAATTGATTAAAAAGACTTAAATTTGAACGAGCACAACTATGATTTATGAGTGCAATTTTTCTTTAATTGTGTATAACATATCATTACTGATGTGCAAAAATCATCAATATAGAAGTTATTTACATATAACGAAAGATGTTGTTGCACATACAGAAAAGAAGTTACACTCACATATCATAATTACATATGTTCAAATTTAGGTCCTTTTAATCCATTAAGTTTTCAAACAAGGATTTTTCTCCCAAATTTCTCTAAAACATTTCACCGAGTTTTAAAAGTAATTAATAATTTTCACCTAAAATGCCTCCACAATAATACCAAAATCGCTTACTTCCTTCCTACTTAGCAAATAATTAAGGATTGGTAATGTATATGGAAAAAAGGATAAAGCTGAAACTAAAAAGATTGTGAATTGGAAATCATTCATCCTCCTCTTCTTACCAACCACTATACATGCTTTTTGCACTTAGGGAGAAATTTGCAAAACCCAAAAACACTTAAAAAAAAATGATTTCAAGCAAGACAAAACTCTTTTATATATTTATCTCGTAGATGAACCCCAACACTAATCCATTGTGTTTGTTGCAATTAATTAGTTAGTTCTTAAAGCTTTTTTCCTTTTGAAAAAAATACCACTTATAATTCTGAATTATTTCTTTTGCTTTCTCACATCTGTTACCCAAAAGAATATGGTTATATATGGATTTTACATAATCACATCTCTTAATTACCTACATGCATAAGAAATTAACATTAGGTACATACAACTATGATGTCTGTATTGAGTTTTGTTTTAAAAACGTTGAAACAAACTAAAATCACTTTTTTGTTAAAACGTGATTTTTACTTGCTCTAATGTTGCTATGACACAACGTAAATAGTGATTTATATGCGCATAATTAGCAATCTTTTTCAAAATTGTCTTAACGCAGCGTAAATAATAACCTACACACGCATCCCCCTAGCAATTCTTTCCCATTTTATTTTAACATAGCGTAAATAGTGCTCTATATGCATACCTAGCTAACTTTTCCAATTTTGTTTTAACACATCGTAAATAGAGAATTAGCAAACTTTTCCAATTTTATTTAAACACAGCGTAAATAGTGGTATACTACCTCCAGTCCTATATATTAGAATTATTTGAATATTAAATTTATTCCTAAATATAAAACTTTAATCTACTTTGTCTCTCAAATTTATAATAGATTTTTTAAAAATATTTTTATTAATTGTAAAGGATTCTCATTAAATGATAGTTGCAATGCATATAACTAAAAAAGATAGTTTAGGATAATTTACACCTATTTTTTATAATCAACTAACCTAGCTAATTTTATTAATTTCTCTAAATTAATTATATAGGTTTTATATTATGAATTGAAAATAGTATGTACACATGTGTGCGTGTGTGTGCGGGGTTTTTTTTTTTTGGTGTGTGACTAAAACTTTTTTGTATGTGTTTCTAAGTTGTAACATCTCCTTGCACCATCTAAGAGAGCTACTAAAAGAGGATAAGAAGCTAGCCAAGAAGCCATATTGAAGTGAAAGGTAATTATGTTAAGTATATCTATTTTTTAATATAATTTTAGGGCATATCTTTGGATTTTTCCCCTCTTCAAATAATTTGTCATGTCCTAAGTTCTTGTGGAGGATTTTTTGAATTTTTGTTATATTTTTATTTGTTTGATTATTTGATGTTATGGCCGATGAATCCATGCCTACACTTTTTGCTCATGTTTTAACTAAGAATACATCAAGCCAAAAGTTAAAAAATAAAAAAAAGGTAAGAATAAAGTTAAATTATTTATCAATTCAAATTGATATATTGTCTTGGTTTTGAATTTGCAATATTTTCTTAGTCTAATATATATGAATTTTTTTTAATGTTCCAAATTATTGAATAAATTTTTTCTCAAAAAATTATGGGATAGAAATCGGAAAAAGATAATAAAAATAATTTAATTTAGGAAAATATTTAAATCAATTTTCTTATATTTATTATGTTAAGTTCTTCATTAATGTGTCTTTTTTTATAATTATAAAGTTAAAATATACTTTTAGTCTTTTAATTTTATACAAGATTTCAATTTGATCTATTAAATTTTAGAAGTATATTTTTAGTTTTTTAATCCTAAAACCATTAATAAAAATTGATGATAAATGTTAATAGAATATTTTCAAATGTTAACATATTAAATTCAATTATCAAAACAACTATAATTATTGTAAAAAAAATCATCATTTAAAATTAACGATTTTATGATAAAAAACTAAAATTATATTTTTTAAAATTTTTAAAATTAAGGAGCCAAATTAAAATCTTATTTAAAATTAAAAGAATAAATGTGTATTTTGGCTTTATTATAAACTATAACAAAGTTCTTTTTACACCTACTCAAACCTTCCTAACCCTTAACCCTTCTCGTAGATGACTACTCACACACTCGGTCACAGCGCCCGCTTTTCCTCAGCCACGTGGGAATTGATCCCCAACCTCCTCCATAGGGGTGGGATAATGCTATTTGAGTCAAGCTGATCGGTGTGGAGGAAAGTTTGGCATAAAAGCCACAGGCAGAGAAAATCTTTTTGATAAAAAAAAAATATTTAGATGAGTTAAATATTGGGATTTTATCAGATCAAGATATGCCTTTAAATTTTGAGAGTGATTTTATAGAGGTATTTATAAATTACTCATCAGTAAAATCTTTATATCGACTGCGGGATCTAAATTTATAAATTTATAAATTATGAGTTGACTCCTTACTAACTAAGTGATATTGCTGACGAATGGAAGGGTGAGAAAAATTTTAATTACAGCATGTGGAAAATATTTCATGAAATAGGCAAATGGTAGTTGGGCTCGATTTCGTTCAGTCGCACCTCATTAAAAGCGCGGCAAACGTTTATCCTGCTTTCATCATCGCAATGAAAAGCCGGTCCTTTTCCCGGAAAAAAAAAATTATGATTTTGATCTGGCTTTGATAGTGAGGGGCCGAGACCCAAGAGGAGCTGATCAAGCAGCATCATGGCCCCAATTTTGGTGTCGGTATCTACTCCCTCTCGGGGTCAATTTTTCGCTTCTTCTTCATGGACCCTTCTTCCCCATCCCACATTCAATAGCGCCCCAACAAGTTCTTTCAATGGCAGAACCACTCAAACGAGGCTCACACCTCCACTTCGAGCTGCCCTCGTGCGCGTCCCGGCGTTGGAAGGAGGTGCCGCCGCCGCTGCCGGAGAGGCCGAGGCTAAAGCCACGACTCGTGTTGCAAATGCTTCTGTATATAGCCCTCAATTTCTTGCCGCCAAATATGGGTCGAACCCAGTCAAGGTCTTCTGTTTCATTCCTAAATTTGTGCAAAGGATTTGGGATTGACGCATTGGGTTTGAGAGTTGAATTGACTCCTTTTGTGGTTTAATCAGGTTGCGCGAAGGGCCCTGCAAATTCTGATTGCGCTGGCTTCGTTTTCGTTGAAACTATTGTTAGACCAGAGAAATGGGGTGGTTGATCGGAATAAAAGGCGCCGTGCGGCCGAGTTGAAGAACTTGTTCACGAGGCTAGGGCCGACTTTTGTGAAGTTGGGTCAGGGTTTGTCCACAAGGCCTGACATCTGCCCACCTGAGTATCTGGAGGAGCTCTCTGAACTTCAAGTACTTTCTTTTCTTTCCATTTAATTCAACTCGTTTTCACTAGATGAATGTAAAATCTATGAAATATCAATACCTGACGAACGGAGTCATATCATTTCCAATGGGTATTCGACAGTATTTGACATGATAAATCTTAGTAAATTTTGTCTTCTAATTACTGGGTGGTTGATATTTTGGAAGACATGCACAAAGTTCAATCAATGAAGTCAAAATTTATACAAAGTTCAATAAATGAAGTGAAAATTTAGTCTTCTATAAGGAATTTAAGATAAACTTTTTGTGCTAGTATCTCATATCTGTGTGAAGAAGTGGGATACTTATGTTTATGCTTGATGACCTGACCACTTCTGTGCTTGAACAGGATGGTTTGCCTATGTTTCCTAATGATGAAGCCTTCTCGTGCATTGAGAGGGAATTAGGAGCATCTCTGGACTCGCTTTTCTCTGATATATCTCCTTCACCCGTAGCAGCAGCCAGTTTGGGTCAAGTCTACAAAGCACAGCTAAAGTGCTCTGGGAAGCATGTGGCTGTCAAGGTGCAACGCCCTGGCGTTGAAGAAGTTATAGGATTGGACTTCTACCTTATCAGAGCTCTGGGATTTCTCCTAAATGATTATGTTGACATAATTACCACTGATGTTATTGCCCTTATTGATGAATTCGCATCCAAAGTATTTCAAGAGCTCAATTATGTGCAGGTTGGTTCTTCTCTCTCTCTCTCTCTGTTTTTTTTTCTTTTTTTTTTTTAATACAACAACTATGAGAAAAACCATACAGAAATTAGTTCAGGTTCTATGAGCATGAAACTCAACACCTTTGTCAAAACACAAACACTCTGCAATGAATAATATGATTCAGAACCAATAAAGTGTTAGTCGGATGATATTTTCAAGCTTTTTAATATGAAACTGACTAATATGTATAAAAGGAAAGTAAATAAATAGTGTTTATACACCATGGGTTAGGCGTAGTGGGGATCCTACCTACTTTTATCCATACACATATCCCTCCAGACCCAAGCAGGTAAATTTTATGGCCGTAGAGGTCTGTGAATTTTGCCCACATCTGTTTAAATTTTGTCAGTTGGCAAGCATTTGGTGATTGCAGCTTTTGTTTTTTGAACCAGAGGTGGGGGCATGGTGCTTCCCTTATGCGTCTAACCAAAAACCTAAATATTTACAATTTATAGATTTTATCTATTGGATGTTAATATTGACAGGTTCCTGCAGGAGGGAAAGAACGCAAACAGGTTTAAAAGATTGTTTGCTGACAAGGGAGATATCTTTGTTCCTGATATTTTCTGGGATTATACAAGTACCAAAGTACTCACAATGGAATGGGTTGATGGAGTCAAACTAAATGAGCAAGAGGCCATTGAGAGACAAGGATTAAAGTTGCGGGACGTCGTAAACACCGGCATACAGTGCAGTCTCAGACAGCTACTTGAGTATGGATATTTCCATGCAGATCCTCATCCTGGGAATCTCTTGGTAACACCTGAGGGGAAGCTTGCCTTTCTTGATTTTGGGATGATGAGTGAAACTCCAGAAGAAGCAAGATTGGCCATAATTGGTCATATTGTTCACTTGGTTAACCGGGATTATGAAGCTATGGCACGTGACTACTATGCACTCAATTTTTTGTCACCTGATGTTGATATATCCCCAATTGTACCAGCACTGAGAGACTTCTTCGACGATGCACTTAGTTATAGTGTGCAAGAACTGAACTTCAAGACAGTAGTTGATGGTTTGGGAAATGTGATGTATCAATATCCATTCAATGGTAAGATATTTCTACCTTTTTCATAGAAACACGGTTGTCATTTATACGTACATTTGAGAAATGTTGAAAAGCACTCACTCGGATGGTGTTATTAGTTATTTTCCCTTTTTGCTATAACAGATAGATTTAGAAATGAAACGTAACTAGTTTTTTCAATTTTTGTCTCCATTGTTTTGAAGAGTGTAATTATGAACTTCAGAAATATTGACACCATTATTACTGCACTTCTATGTAGAATCTGATGGTTTGACATTATGTTTTGGCAGTCCCAGGATACTATGCATTAATATTGAGAACTCTCACTGTTCTTGAAGGTCTAGCACTTTATGCTGATCCTAATTTTAAGTTACTAGCAGCTTCATACCCATATTTTGCTAAAAGGCTCCTAACAGATCCAAATCCATATCTTAGAGATGCTCTTATTCAGTTGCTTTTCAAGGACGGGAGGTTCAGGTGTGTATACTACAAGTATATCGGAGATAAAATTATAACTCAGGATTCAATGTTGAAGATATTTGTATTAAAAGATCTTATATTTCAAAATTATTCTAGAGAATTCTAAGAATAAAAATTTTAATAGTGAAGCCAAAATTTTAAATTACGAAAGTAAAATTTTGAACTGGGATAAAAAACTACACTTATATTGTAAAACTCATTCTTTTTAACTATTCATGTAGTTTTTCCTTTCATGCTTCTTAACTACTGTTTAGGAAATGATTTTTCAGTTCTCACAGTTAGTAATTTAAAAATTTAAAGTTTGTCGGCATAAATATCTTCAAAAGTCTCCCTTTCTTAAATGTATACGTTAATCCTTTGAACTTTCAATTTAAGAATAATTTGGTGTTAGCGTGCTAATATCAGTTGATGTGGTCCATTGCAGATGGAATAGGCTTGAAAACCTACTGATTCAGGGGCGAAAGGACAGAGATTTTTCTGCCAAAGAGTTCTTACAACCTGTCCTGAAGATATTGATGATGCCAGACGGTGAACATCTGAGGACTTTGGTTACCCAAGAGGCTGCTCGTGTATCTGAAGCTTTTGTTTTAAGCACTATGTATGACACATACAAGTCTATTCCCAGATTTATGAGGTCTCTTGTTTTCAATGGGAATGCAAATGGACCCCTCACGATATCTGACACTGAAATGGATAGTATCATAGAGCTAAGAAACCAAGTTCGTCGGGTATGGGGACTTCTGTCCTCTGATGATATTGATCCATCTTTTTTGCTACCTATACTAGAGGTAATAGCCATCTTTTTGCTGTACAATTCGTTTTTGTACTTTGCTTGCTGTGCTGTCTTCTGGTTCTTTCCTTTCCATTACTACTAAATAATCTACATTATTAAATTAACTATAACGTCAAGGGACCCATATGGCCACTTCTATAAAAGGAAGAATGCAACACATTTCTATGAAGACCTTCGTCATATCATTGAAAAATAAATCTAAAGTGATTCAGTTTATATACCCATTAGAGTGTTGGTGATGCCTAGATAGAGAAGCTACAACTATTGATAGACCTCACTGGCCATGGATATATTTTGTGGGGAAGGGGATGAAGGATAATGAAGCAAGTGACTTCAAAATTGAAATACAGGTTCATGAAATCATCATATTATAAATGTAGCCCTGAATTCATTTTCATCCGTATGCCTTGTGATGTAAAATGGAAAGGGCACACTCAGAACACTCTGAAATAAAAATAAGGAAATCTGAATGAACCTATTTCTAGGCTGTCTTGTAAGCAGGCATAGTCCAGCAGCTAAAACACCAAAAACAGAATGAATACTTGTCCAGGATGTCAGTAACTGTGCAACCCAAAAGAACTAAAAAACGCAAAGAAAGAAGTTACAATCTGAGGAAATGAATTAGTAGATTTAAAGTATCTTTATTTATTTGTTGTTGCAATTGGATTGAAAGATGATTCAACTTTTTTGGATGATGCAATGATACAACAACTGATGTTATGTATGAACAGGTCCTTCAACAACAAGAGTCACGCAGATTTGCAAGGCATGTTGCTGGTGGGGTCACTCAACGTCTTGCGGCACGCTTTCTGCAGCAATTACTTCAAGCTCAAAAAACAACTTCAACATAGATTTTGTCATTAGAAACAGCTCTTGGCAGCAAAGGCATGTATGTTATCTATATTTTTCTCAACATTTGAAATTAATTTAATTGATTGGTTGACCTATACAAATAAGGAAAGAAAAAGAAGATTTAATTCTGTTCTGCTAATATACCTATTATTTTTCTTACCATGTTCAAATAGCAACAATGCACTCGAATGAATGCTTCTTTCCTTTTGAGTAAAATAAGTGGGGGACTAAGCCAAAAGCAACACAACAGAAAACATCAGTTTGGGGGCTATTCCTATATCTCTAACTTCCCATTATTTCTGTAATAGTTCTCTAACCCGAATGGATGGTTAGAGATTAACAACACAGTTTGAGTTCATGTCGTTCAGAAGATTTACAGGATTTGCAGTTTAGCAAGATCTCTTCGTAAGGTCTTTTTCGATTTCAGGTGAATGTCTCTGGTTCAATCACTACTCTTGTTTTGAGGTTGTAAGTGTAAATAGGACCGGTCGCCCAGAACGGGTTGAATTGAATGCTTAAAAAATTCTCCAAGGATGAACGATAAAATAAAAGTATTTGAACTAGAAAAACAAAGTAAAAAACACAAACACTGAATATTAAGAGATGAAGGGATGGGAGAAACGAAACAAATGAATTAATCTTAGTTCAGTTCTAATCATGCAAGTCTATGTCCAGTCTCCAAAACTTATTATTTGAAAATTTTCTGTACATGCTAGATTTAATTTATGTTCTAGCAACAGTACAACAGTTGATCATAACTTTGATTTGAAGGTTCTCTTTTTGTGTACACCTGGAGTCAATCAATCTACTCAAAGATCCCATTATTCTTAAGTCTCTCGGTAAGATAAAAGATTTATGATCACAAGTTGATCATAAAATAAACCTCGTAAAGGCTTGGATAAAATACAATTGTAGTTGGGGTGGCTCTAAATCCATGGGTGTAAATGAAAATGGAAGTTTTAGCACTTAGTAGCAATAAATCAGTGTCCACCTATTTAAATTATGATTCTTTTTATTGTTTTTAAGAGTATCCATTATTTAAGCAAGGAATAGAGTATTTAATACTTTTGTAATAAAAAAGTAACTTAATACAAAATTTGTAGTATCTACCCCAACATGAAAGCTTCAATAAACAAATATCCTGAAAATTGCTAAATCACAAATCATGATGAGTGAATTTTAAAATTTCAAAACAAACCCTTTTAATATTTTGGAATTTTAAATCCTTGCAAAATGGTATCATTGTCTCTGTACTCTTGGTGATTACTTGCTTAACTATTGACTACTATAATTTTGTTATTGATGGTTTTTGTTTTTAGAGTTTTGGTGACTATTCTTACGTAGCTATTAACTACTTTAATTTTGGCATTAACTACTTTTATTTTTAGAACTTCAAACTGTTTTTGTATAATAAAAATAGTTAATAGGGAGACTAAAATAATCAATCGCTAAATAGGAGTATGTAACACCCTACTTCTTCAAACACACTTTTAACATTCTATGATGCAAAGATAGAATAAGTGGGGATAAAAGTGAAAAAACTAATTTAAAATTTTAGACAAAGATAATTTGTTTCTTATGTTTATGGACATCACTATAAGAGAGATTGTTTCTTATAAAAAGGATGGAGGGAGTAGTAATTAAAGAATCAAATTCAATAAAAGTGTTTATAATGCTAAAAATAGTTTCAAACCAAACAATAAATTATCAATCAAAATATAATGCTTCATACATTAATAATCGAATCCTCCACATATTCACAATAAGAATCCCATGAGTTTTCCTTTTTTTTTTTTTTTTTTGGCCCCCCGCACAGCATTCTCAACACATTCGGAGTTTCGATTCCGTAAGGATCCATTACCATCCAAAGATTTTGCTAGCAGTAACCTCAAATAGTTCAAAAAGCATGAAATCATTGAGATAGCTCTGACTCAATATGCATCCAAAAAACAAAGAGGCCCTATGTGTATAACAACATAGGTCATTAAAGCACATGAAAGTAAAACAAAGGTTATACAAGAGTACAAGAAGCTTCAACCCTTGGACAATTTCCCCCTGCTAATACTGCCAGGGCACTCCCCTGAAAAGAAAGAAAAGTTAGAAACCATATATAATGTGAGACTAGGCTCATTTAGAATAGCTTATAAGTAACTTTTTAATTGTGATTTATAGAGTGAGAGATAAATATATGAGAAAAGTTGTTTCAGTTTATATGAAATATGTTTATAAGTGATTTTTAACGCTATGCCAAATAGAGCATTAAGAGGGAATTTGACAACCCTGGGAATCAATTAGAAAATTGTTTTCACGTAAGTCGGGACAATTTCTTTCACATGCAACCATATGCTAATGAGAGTGTCAAGTGGTTTTTGAAAAACATACTTCTCTGGTCTTATTTATAGGATAGAGATAGAAGATATTTTTTGGTCCCATTTATAGGACACTGAGAGGAATTTTTTTGTATAGATGTACAATTTTACTCTTCATTTATTTTTATACTGACTTTGTTTACATGAGGTATAACGTACATTAAATAGGGATAAAATTGAAAAGTTGTTGAATTTTAAATGAGTGTTAATAAAGTTTAAGGTTTTTCTTAGTTTGTATGAAATATATTAGAAGTGACTTATAAATAGAACTGGAGGAGTATAATGCACACATACGTTTTATGCTTTTCAAAAACTATCAAATGTACTCATCTAGTCCTATTTATAAGACACTTATAACATATTTTACATAGATAAAGAAAAACCTTAAACTATATTAATCCTCTATTAAAATATAATAACTTTCTAACTTTACTTTTTTTAATATAATCACCTTTTAAAAAAATAATCATTTACACTATAACAAATGAAGGATAAATTAATGAAGTGACTTATAAATAGGACAAAAAAAAAATTCTTTCTCTACCCTAAAGATAGGACCAGAGGAGTAACTAGTTTAACCTCCTATCAGCATCACTATATTCTGCTTGAAATCTTTGATTGAACTCATAGGCTTAAATTTATCCATATGACTAGTTACTTATAAATTCAGCAATTATACGATGTCACTTAGCTAAAGGCTACATATCCCATAATGGGTTCAAGAGAGGTGTCATTGCCTACGGGTGAATCCTGATCCCAAATTAGTATAAGGAAGCACACTGAGGCAATACTAACAAGGCTAACCATTAGGCTCCATATATGGTGGCGTATGGTAATAAAATTGTCTACGTATATCTTAACATTCACAGTTCTCACCTCATATAACAACAACAATAATTATCATCAATATTATTTCAGTCCCTAATATAATAGTTAGTTTGACTTTCAATTTGGTCCTAAATATAAAATTCTAATCTACTTTGTCTCTCATTTTTATTTATTTTTTTTTCAAAATAATCTTTGTAGTAGTTGCACATGTTAAAGATTTCATACTAGTTCTAATTAATACACATGATTAGTAAAGATATTATAGGGAAGACAACACCTATTTATTATAAATAATTAACTTAACAAACTTTCTTAGTCTACTCAAATTAGTCAACTAGCTCTTATATTGAGGACTCGAGATACTCCTCCGGTCCTTATTATAAGACCCAATTTGACTTTTTATTTGGTCCTAATTATAAGACCCAATCCATTTTGTCTCTTATATTTATGCATTTTTTTTTCAAGATAATCCTTCTAATAATGATAGTTTTAGCCAATATACTTAATTAGCAAGGATATTTTAGGAATGACAACACTTATTTATTATAAATAACCAACTTAACTTACTTCTTTAATCTCCTCAAATAAGTCAATTGGGTCTTATAATTAGGACCGGAGGAGTAGTATCATAACATGATTCAAATTAAAGTTCACACATAAAGTTCAATATATGTGCATTACATAAATCAACATCAACCCGAATCATAAATCAAAATATACCCCACAAGACAATCGATTTCATTAAAACACACACACATTTCATGACTTTATAACGTTTAAATTCATTACTACTATATAAAAGATAGAATCATTTCTTGTTTATGATACATTATGATACGATGTCAATAAAAAAAAGAATCATTTAGTATTTATTATTCATAAAAAAAAATAAAAATGTTAAATTCTATGATGTTGTACGTTTTACAAAGTTATGTGCGTCTATTTTTTAAAAAGAAAGATAGAGACAGCAATATTTCCGCGCAATCCGCTGGAACGTTTCAAGTTAATTATTATTCGTGTATCCAATCTTAAATGGAAATTCACAAAAGTATTGATCATAACGGAAGCATAAAAAACTTATAAATAATAATAATAACAACTTTTGAACAATATATGTTAAAAAATATGTCAATCCTTTATCTGTTTTGTTCTATTGGAATGCTTCTTTATATGTTTTTAAAACATAGATACAGCTACGAAATTGTTGATAACATTAAAAAAAAAAAATCCAATTAACGTAATTTTAATTTCTCAGTTTTCTAGCGTTTTTTTTTTTGAAAAAAAAATACCTAAACATTCCCGTTCCCATTACTATATATAACCAACATATCTATAGTCAAACTACACACACACACACACACACACCCATTGGCTTCCTTCAGGTTCAATACAATTAAAAAAAAATTCAGACTGTTCCCCTCAGTACGTAACCATGTCGATCACATTCTTCATCGCTCTCATTCTTAGCATATCCTTCTATACAAGTAATGGTCGAGAATTAGTCACTCATGATATGAAACTGGAGGTAAAATTACCCTTAATTCCCAAGGTTTTTGATTAGTTTATTCTATTAATTATAATCTTCTCTTGTGTATATATGTAATCTTATGAAGTTAATTGTTTGTATTGTTTGATGCAGAATGGTGAGAAAAATGACAATATTGTTGATGACTCATCTGCAGAGAAGTTTGTTCTAAAGAATGATGGAGATAAAGGGATGAAGGATGGGTTTGAAGCTAATATTGGAAAAAAGGATAAGATCAAAATTACAAGAAAATATGAGGATCTTTTTGTTAAAGCTTCTAATTGGGCTGCGAGTCACAGTGAGATGAAGGAGGAGAATCCAGAGTTCAGTGTGGACTATGAACCAGTGCATGCGCATCCTCCTCATAACGGCGCTTAAAATAATAAAGGATTTAAAGAAAGTACTGAAGAATAAGCTCTAGTTATGTATTTGTATGACTGGGATAATGTCCTTAAAATTTATCCTCTTTGAGGGAAATTCTCTTTCTTTAAATAAATACACATCTAAGTGAGGTTGATAGGTGTTTTTCTTTAGAACTAGAACGGTTCAAAACGGGTCACCTATAACACCCACTCGATTTCTAAATAATACTCGCTCCGGTTCGTGGTTTTAAGATAGTTCTCGTCTTCTCAGCTTACCATTCAGTTCAAGACGGCTCGATTCGGTTTAACCCTTCAAACAATTCATATGAGGTATAATGCTTTTTAGTTGACCATTAGACCGGTTTAATTGTCTGGTCTAGTATGGTCCGACTTTAAAATTATCTTAAATCCTTGATGGTCTCTTGGCCTTTGCTTGCTTTTTTTTTTTGGAAGAAAAAAAGTAACCTGCTAAATTACATCTACCGCACATAGAGGAAAGCGAGTTGAAAAGGATTTGAAAAAGTTTGCTAAGTGATTTAGAAAGAAGTGCGCAACGGAATAATCCAGTATGCAGCTTTTAGGCTTATTGCCTTTAATAAGTATTCAAAGAGTTGGGGGAAGAACTGGAAAGGAAAAGGGAAAATTAACATGGTAATATCATAAAAATAAGGAGAAACAGTAAATAAAATGAAATATATGTAGCTATAAAATATTGAAATTATCAAAAAAGGGAAATATATATGCTTTCGACCGCAATAATTTTATATAATTTTTAGTTTTTTTATAATATGAAATCGTGTGATTATAATTTTTTTTGGTGCTACAAAACTTTTTAAATTACCTACTTACTACTTTTTAACTCCAATAATTTTACGTATTTTTAGATAGAATGTTTGCAAAATTTTAATAATAGAAATAAATTCAAATTTTAAACAGTGAACATGTATTAATGATTTTCCTAAATATAAACAATTAATTTGAAATTTTTGGGCCCTAGTGATATAATCTCTTTCTTTTCGCACAAAGGTTATTTAATCTTTTTAAAAACTTCAATTATAAAATATTTGTAATATTTTTATTGTTATGATCTACGAATAATTATTTTTTAATTAACTTTTTATTATGTTACAAAAAATATTTTTACTCATAAAATTATCTATCTCTTAGTAATTTTTTTGTTGTGAATAAGTATCCTCTTATTGGAGACAATTTGGTTCACGGAATTATAGGGCACTTAAGATGGGTACATCTTTCAGCACAAATTCAAAGCTTAATTTGTTGCATTGTGAGAGGCTAGTTCTTTTCATTAGACTCAATCTTTATTAGTATCTTTTAGTTAATTAATTCATTTTATGCCCTGATAATGGGAGAGTTTTTGGGTAACAAAGTGGGTAACAGAATAAGAGAGATGTTAAAACTACAGTTCTTCCCTTAGCTTAAACAGAAGGAAAATCTGCAGCCCTTTTGAAGTTGATGAATTTCGGAAGATAAGCCCAATTTCTGGTGGGAGAAACATATAATAATAATGTATTAATTAAATTTGACTAATAGCAGCAGAGGGCTGTGACAAATGTTAGCCCAAAAGGAAAAATTTGTGGACCTTTCATAATGATTACGCCCCTTCTTTGAGACTCAACCTTCTCCTTGCTTCCTTTTAATCTGCAATATTGCATATATAATTAGCATCCAAATATTGAAGGACAGCAACATGGGTCAATATGGATCAATATATCTACAATATATATAGATGACTAAATTATATAAAATCTTCATTAATTACCTAAGAATCATCTACAAATGAATTTTGTAATGTTTAAAATTTAATAATAAACTCTCTTAAACTTTCACATTTATGCAGATAATCCCAAACTACTGATTTTATACTCTTTTAAATTTTATTTTTCTACGCATATAACCCCCCAAACTGTATGGGTCATATGTAGATAAACTTAATTCTTAAATTTTAAATTATTTATAGATCAATAACGAATAAAATTTATAATTTTATATTTATCTTCATAAATGTGAAAAATTAGACATGTTTATTATAAATTTTCAAAAACTAGGGAGAAGCTACATTTATGTGTGTGTAATATGACATAATTTAGGGGATAAACTGTTTGTTTCTTTATAGCCACAATAACCATATGTTGTGGTTAATCAGATCCAGAAAATTAACCAGAAAATTAATGATTTGATGATGATTCATCAGCAATAAATTAGAGAAATGAGATTGAGAAGATAATTAAAATGAAATCGAACGTACCCATGGCTTTTCTGCAGATTGAGAGAAGAACAATTAAAATGGCAAGACCTGCTAGTACTCCCACAATGATAGCTACAGATTTCCCCACCTGGTCATTGTGAGAGGAATCTGCACAATGTTCCATGTTCAGCACAACATAAAGCATTCAACGTTAGTCGTTTGTACTACATGCTCACCTACTTTCTCTCCACTACATGAGGGAACAAATATCTGGCTTAATATTATTGTTAATTCTTAAAATTTGATTTCTTTTTAATTTTAGCTTTTGAAATTTAAAATGAGTGGTTTTTTTTTCCAGAATTTTAACTTTATTATGGTTTTGATCCAAAAAATTTAATCTCATTTTGATTTTGACCTTTGTTTTAGAAATCAAAATGAAGTCAAATCTCAAATGCTAAAACCAAAATGAGATTTTAGAAGCCAAAATCACTAGTTTCAAATTTTAAGTACTAAAGATGGTATTGACCCTGAATTTAATACTTTAATCCTTAATATAAGTGTTATTCAATTAATTTATGAATATTAAAAAATTAAATAAATTAGTTAATTATAGTAAATGTGTCATGATCTCTCTAAAATACTTCTTTGCAACATTATATTTATATATTAGCTTATAAGTTAGATAAATTAGTTAATTAGAAAAAATTATAAATATGATATATATAAAGTGAATTGGTATTTTATATATGGGACCAAATCTAACTCTTTAATTAGCTCTTATGTTAGGGATCAGAGGCCAATCTTCCTTCAATTCCAAATATATGAGTTATAGTTGATGAGTTTATTTTTGTCTTAAACCTAATACTTCAATTTACTTAGTTTCTCAAATGTGTGGGTATATATATAAAACTATCCTTATTAATTACACTTGTTAATGGAGGTTTTTTTTTTTTTTTTAAATCAATGGGATGGTCTCAACTTTCATTATAAATGATTAAAAGGGGCATTTTAGATAAATCAACACATATATTTGCATATGAGTAAATTAACTAATTTTCTTAATATTTATAGACTTTAGATAACAAAATTAAATCCCTGAACATGATTTTTCCTGTCTATACAAAATTTGAATCAACTACGTTCTTTACCAGGCAGGCATACATCTAGCTCCTTTTTTTAAATCCATGCAATAATTATTTGTGTGTGTAACATATATACACACATATATATGACCCGTCATTAAATCTAATAATGCGATGCTTCAAATTAAATTTATACTTTTTGAAAATTTTCGTGAAAATTTTGAGCATTATATTGTGTGCGGGTAGTGGAGAAGTTGGCGGGAGAATATAGAACTTTTGGGCACTTGGGATTAAAAGATGGTATTCTCATTCCCTATTATCTTCCCCTTTATCGGGCTTTATGCCCTATCCTTGCATGAAAAGAATAATAGAGATAAACCCTAAAACTGAGACCGATCAACTAAAGAACAGAACCCATGAATAGTAAAGAAAGACGAAGACGGGGAAGAAAACAATGTCAGAAACAGTGACTTTCCCAAAAATAGATGAGAAGCATATATTCTCAATGCTTTGCTTTAAAAAGGACTACTTAGTTGACGATTATGTTTGACAATTATTTTTAGTACTTTCTGCCTCCTTCCCTACTTTTCTTTCTACTTCTAATTTTGTTTTCCTAAATAAACTTCGTGGTGGGCCTTGTGTTGTATGGGGCATAAGAAGATCAGAGTCTACTATTTATTTGATTGCACATATTGGTGGCTTTTTTTAATCAGATAGTTTGTAGCAAGATAAGAAAAAGTCTTATTGAATTGCTATGAAAACTAATAATGATATATATATATATATATATATGATAATGTAGGGTTTTAAAAATACAGCAAGAGTATAAAGTTCGGGTAATTGAATGAGGATGTTGAAATAGATATGTAGTCATAAAAGAAAAGATAATATTCATAATGAATATGCTTAGAGTGTTTTAGAAAAACATATCATATTAACTAATTCAACTAATATTCTTAATCTACTCAAATTAGTTAATTAGGTCTTTCATTAAGGGCTGGAAGATTATAAACAAGAGTTGGAGTGATGTCTATCGAAAGATAAAATGATATAAAAACATTTGAAGTGATTCAGATATATATATATAAAAAGAAGGTCGTTAGAGATATTGGTGAGGAGGGTAAATCAGACAATTTGACGTACTGTAAAAAGGAGATGAGAAAATAGGGGAGAAAACACTCCATGTAATTAGTGATCAAGACCTTTTGATTAACAACTTATCTAAAAATTTGGTTATTGATAGAATACAATTACCCAGTTATAACCAACCTAGGTAGTAAGGCAGGGTTTATTGCACCGTTCACAAAGATATTAACACTTCCTTTTTTGAATGCATAGTGGCCTGAGACCTAGTTTATTCTAATATACAACTAATTCCTTCTTGATTGATCTAGGCTGATGAGTTTAGCTATTTATAATTAACAAATCTAGCTGGGAGGTTCAAGCGTACCAGTTCAGTCACCGGCAAAGCAAACCCAAAAAAAAAAAAAAGCCTTTTGTGTTCGTTTTTCCTTAAGTCCTCTTCAACTATTGTACTGAAGAATGTTATATATAATTATATATGACGACAATTACGCACGCATAACCTAAGTACGCACCAAAACAACTGGCTACAAAGTAAAAGCATAAAAGAACCCAGGAATAGAATACTTCTGAAAAGAAAATGCCCACTTTCTCACCAATTTTTTTTCACTTTTTAATTAATTAACTATACACGTGCCATCTTAACTACATCAATCCCATTACCGTATTTTTATCACCTAATTAAACTATTAGTTGATTAATTCTCCTATTTATTTCAACTCTAAATATGAGATGTCAATTTACTCTGTTTTTTAAATTTATATTTATTTCTCTAAAATATCCATATTAATTTCAAGTAGTGAAGGGTCTTTTCATAATTCCATCAAAGTTAGTTATAATGTGTATTCTTAGAAAATGTATTATTTTAAAGAAACTAACGTACGTTTATTATAAATAATTAAGTTAACTAATTTTTTAATATATGTAAGTTAGTTATTTAGTTTTTATACTAAGTATTGGACTAAGGAAACCACCAGCAAAGAAGGAAATTATCAGAATAACGAAAACAAACCCGGTTCATTGTAGTAGCCAGAAGCCCAGTATCTAACATAGCATTGTCCCAAGAACACATCCGCCGCACCAGCAGATCCACACAAGCTCTTCAACTTCCCTACTGCATCCGCAAGGCAAGACGAACAATCCTCCGAACTCAAATCCCCTAAGCACTGAGCAAACCCTTCCACAAAACCTGACTTGCTAACCCGAAACCCGGACGCTGCCTGGAGCTCAGCCAGCACGTCGTCCCGGCGCCGGTAAAACTCGCTGTCGGTCGCCGACGACCTGCTGCACTTCTTGAACCTCACGTTCGTATCAGGCTTCCCTAAAAAATCAAAGTGCTCGTATCTGATATAACATCCTTCAAGCTGTAAAGAAGCTCCAGTAGCATAAGGGCAAATTATGCCTATCTGATTAATACAACTTGCGATACACTTTGAACAATCCTTTAGTTGTAGGTCACCCCTACACTGATATAAGCCAAAAATGGTGGAATCTGAAGAGCTTGAAGTGGAGTTTCCAATGGCGAAGCTATTGTAAGTGGATTGAGATGAAGAACTTGAGACTGAAGAGAGGAAGGAAGTGAGGCTAGACTCGAAGTCTGAGTTGGGTTGGTATTTGTCTTGGGAGCAACCTCCATAGATGAATCTGTGAGGTTGGTAGGCGAGGGAGAAAGGGATTATTGCAGAGAAGAGGAAAAAGAAGAGAAGAAGAAGAACAAGAGAAGAAAGGTTAGGAAAGAGAATGATTGATATGTCATTAATGGAGTTTTTCTGTTGAAGGGGTTTCAGCAACATCTTTTTAGCTTGGTTTTTCAGCAGTTTGATGCCTTCTTTGCTTGATAAAGACGATATGCGTAGAGAGAGAGAGAGAGAGAGAGAGAGAGATCAGAGTAGCTGGGTCTTATTTTGGTCTTCCTGAGTTTTCATGTGAAGCCCTTTTTTTTTTCCTCTTTTTTGAGGGCTGCAGGGGGGAAAAAAAACAAAAGAGAGTCAAAGAGGGCACAAACAGGCCCTACCATTCATATCGTTAGACAAATATATTATTTACCTATTTGTCTGGGGAAAAAATGAGTAAAGGCTAAAGTATCTGAAAATTAAATCATCAATTTAAGTCAAAGAGGGCGCAAACAGGCCCTACCATTCATATCGTTAGATAAATGTATCATTTACCTATTTGTCTGGGGAAAAATGAGTAAAGGCTAAAGTATCTGAAAATTAAATCATCAATTTAAGTCAAAGAGGGCACAGACAGGCCCTACCATTCATATCGTTAGATAAATGTATCATTTACCTATTTGTCTGGGGAAAAAATGAGTAAAGGCTAAAGTATCTGAAAATTAAATCATCAATTTAATAATAATAGGCCTTAAAACATTATTCTAAAGAAAGAGGAGTCGTATGTGCATATCGATTTAAGTAATTGTAAATATTATAAATTTAATGACGAAAAACACCCTTTTATGCTGCCTAATTTACGCCGGTTAGTGCACCAACAGTATAATAAATAAGGAGGTGGTATTTTTGTAAATGACAATATAATATTTAAACTTATTATAATCACGTCCAATGTTATTATTACTTTTTACATTAAACATTAACCCAATCGTTGTAATTTTAATTAAATGGCATCGATAATTATAGATAACCAGTATTTTTAATCTTTACACCGGCCTATCCCTTGCCTTTTCGTTTCCGTAAAGTAATGTGAACTTAAACGGTCACCAGTCATATCTTGTCACCATCTATTTAAGCTCAGAAGCTAACTGTCTTTCTTGTTCTCCACCTTATTCGTCTACTACCACTAACAATCTTACAATGGTGAAACAGCAGAAAATCGTCTCAACTCATCCTTTGTCTCCCCTCTCCCCCTCCCCACCACCTTGTCTCTCCTTTCCTACCTTCCCCCTCACCCCCTCCTTCTTCCCCGCCTTCTTTTGACTAGCTACTTCAAAGAGTAGTGGCAATTGATTGCAGCCTCTGCCATGTATAGGAGCTCATTTCTATGCTCTCAACAACAAGGCCAACCTCCTACTTAATGACAGGCACACTAAGTATGATGACATGGATGACCCCTTTGCTGCCTCCTCCTCATTGTCGTCCTCCTCCTCTTACGGCTATTAGTTTTTTTCATTATTGTAAAAATGTAGTCTTTTTTATAAAAACATTTTGTAAAGGCAGCCTCCACTCCTCCCACTAAATATAAAATATATAATGATATTTTGTGATAATCTTGTGTTGTTCCTTTATTTTAACGCATTTTTTGTTTTCTAATATTTAACAACGAATCTTAAAACTGGTAAAAATGTCATCTTTTTTTTTTTGGGTTGCTAGTTTAAAGAAAAAGAAGAATTGGTAACTACATTTAAAATTTACATAAACCATCTTGTGTTCAATGTAATGAGTTTTCAACACTAGTTTTGGGGTCTCAATTTCAAAGTCTCAGAATATGGTTTGGCGTGCTCTCACCTTGGGAGTTGTGTGGAGATGGCATGAAGTGCTCAAGTTGTCTTCTGTAGCTCGCCATTATCGCCATCATTTGTTGCCTCCACTATTCTAGTCTCATCGTAGGTATCATTGTTGCTGTTTTATTTTTTCACTAAGCTATTTGCCTAAACCCTAATACAACTCTCTTTCTATTTGAGATTAGCTTTGAATCTCTTGATTAAAGGTTGCAATAAACTGTTTAAGACTTGAGGCATTGTCACCGTATTTGGTCCATTAAAGAGGACAAGGAACTCTGCTAAGTATCTGTCATTCAAGTATGATCAGCTCTAAGTTGTAGTACCTTGAATGACCAAAGACTTGTCAATTATCTAGTCTATCCTTGTAAAAGAAATTGGCCTTCATTTTCTTTCTCCCCATCAATCACAAGTAATTAATCTTCTTTCATTTGTTTTCTCCCTAGTGAGCTAACCTTAATACGAATTAGTTCTTAACTGCTAGACTACTTTATATTTTCATAGTTTCTTTTATTTGTGGCAAAAAAAAAATAGTCATAAAAGAACTAGCTAGTATAAGAAAATTTACAAAAAAAAAGGGTCAACTTCTTAGACCATCAGTCTAAGAAGTGGACCTTTTTTTATTTAAATTTTCAATGTTTATACTGGTTGGTATAATAATCACTGGTGAAATCTCTCTCTCTCTCTCACACACACATATATATTTTACATTAGTTAGGAAATGGGTGTAAAAAGTGCATACTTTTAACACTAGTTGTCTTTCCGATGCTAAATAGTAAATACCTATTCTAATCAGTGTAAAAAAACCTTTTTTCTAGTAGTGTATTGAGAGAGATTTGTAGGATATTAAGAAAAAGATTTTTTTTCTTCTAGTAATGTATCAAGAGAGATTTGTAGGACATTAAGACTCAAAATTGTAATTGTGGGATGTGAAACTTAGGATTAAGATTAGGTTAGTTGTTTTATAAATAATTTATTAACTTGATTGATATTATATTATATATAATAATATAATGCAATATTTTAAAAATAGATAAATAGGTTAAGCTGCTGTGCTTGTAATTTAGGCTTTATAAAAATAGGTCCCACCTATTTGCCTAAAGAGATCTATGCCTTAGCATAAACCTATATAGGCCCTTGAATGATAAGTAGGTCTATGCAAAAACTTGGTGGTATAATATGATTTGATTTAACTTGAACAAACTTAGTAAAACAAAAAATTAGTCCGAAGCAAGACTGGACCAGACTGGACTGGGGACTGACTCTTTAGACCAATTGGTCCAATCTAGTTTGGACCGAGTTTTTTCCCCTTAATTTTTTGCAATTATTTATATAATTTTATTTTTTTAATTCTTCTATATAAGTTTTATGTCAATTCAACTAATCAAGATTTATCTATTAATTTCCTAAGTGATGAGCATGTGTATATATGTTTTTCAATATAAGATCTATATTGATGAGGATTAATAATATGATATTATTGAGAAATTAAAAGGAAATGATCAAATTTGATGAAATTTGGATCAAAACACGTGCAAAATTTTATATAGTAAGTTAAAATCTTGCTTTGCATTGAAGGAAAAATTTTTTTAAAACAAAGACCAAGTCTAGTCCAACTGAACCTTGGGTTGGTACTAGACTACATCAGACCTCGAACTATTTTTTTCAGCCCAAAACCTTTACTGAACCAGATTTGGGATTGATAGCAGATTCAATCTGGTCTGATTCATGCACACCCCTAATGATAAGGGCCTAACTTTCCTTCATCAGTAAATTTCAAGTAGAAACTATAATATTTGCATCTTGAATAATGGTTCTACATGAAAATTGATTTTAGTCCTGAGTTAAAAAATAGTAGAAATTAAACAAACAACTTTTGATGTTATGGCCAAATTGGGTCAAAAATGTAATTTTAAAAAATTTTAGGCTATAAATAATTTTTTTTAAAAAAATATGATAGAAAATCCTAAAAAGTCTTATAAATTCATGAAAAATAAAGAGAAGTTGTGCAAAACATATTTGAGGTTTAAAAGAGGCAAAAATGATGAAAATACCTTAAAAATTTATGGAGATTTAATTTTGACTAATTAAGTGATATTTAGTCAAAATTTAATTATTTAAATTGTGAAATGGCCTCACATAAGTGGAAAAAATAAGGAGAAAATTACATTAGAATCTGCTTCAATTTATAAAAGCGATCATGTGCTTAAGAAGTTGAAATTAGATGTCTAAGAATATTTTAAGTGGTTTTTTTGGTAGAATATTTTTAAGTGGCTTTAATCCAAAAAGGGATCATTTTTGCTTCATAATACAACACTGAGGTGCAAAAGTACGGCGAAAGATTCCATGCAATAGATAATACAAAATATTTAAAAAAATGCTTATAATCAATATATCTAGCCCTCTAAACCTGAAGATATTTATAGTTTTTTTCCCGCGTTTTTTTGGTTATTAAGAATTAGTCATTACTATTTACAGAAAAGTATGTTGAAATTGACAAAAAATTGTTTAATAGTATAAAAAATTAAAGTTATTGGTCAATTCACACTAAACATGTCTTTAAATCTTAAACAAAGGTATTGCAAATTTGATCATTTGTGAACATGATGGGTACATAAATTTTTTTCGTAGGGTGAAGTGTCTAACCAGGCATAAACACGGGAGGTTAAAAAAAAAAAAAAAACCAATTCCTGATCTTCCTTCCAAAAGAATAGGTTTTTTTTTCTAAAAGAAAATAAAAGAGTCTGTGAATTCTCATAAAATACTTATAAATTATTTATTATTAAAATTTTTATATCAATAATGGGATTCAAACTTACATTACTATTAGTATCAAAATTCTTAGTTGAGCCAACTTTAATTCATTATGTTGAAGGATATTTTTTGTAGAGTTAAAAATAAAAATACTCACGGAATAAAAAGAAAAAGTGCTCATGGAATCTTGAACAGCTCATACATTCCATAGAATAGAGTGGAATCCACGCAAGTTGTGAATTTTCTTTTTTTGGGCCAAACTCAGTTTTTTTTTTTGGCCAGGGGCCGAACTCAGTTGGGAAAATTTAGTACATAATATTTTCTTATATTTAATTCTATTGGATAATTTAAAATATATAAATGCAAAAACAATTAACATTATTTAACCATATCATTTAGTCATCATTTGGAGAACATCTGATAGGATGGGAAGAGGTAAATCAAGCTTTTAAAAATTAATTATCTAAATAAAAATATTATTCATGAAATAATTAAATAACCCTGTGGATTTGCGACTTTTTCTAAATGACTATTTTGCCCTCAATACATTTATTTATTTATTTTACTGGGCCTGATGTGTTCTTCTTTCTGCAGAAATTCCCCGTCTGAGACGCCAGAGGCAGAGCTCTGGTAGAAGAATCACGTTGACCCGGACCCGGTATGGCCAAATCGGATCTGTTCCTCTGATATTCACAGTATATTTTCCGCGTTTCATTGCTTCGTTCCTTGCTGGTAATGATTCTCAATCTTCTATTCTACTCATGAAGTTCTCGATACGTTGGAACATTAAACTGGAATGATTCTGTCGAGTAATTGAGCAAAATGCATTCAACGGTGTTTCTTGTCTTTCTCTTTTCTGATTTAAAAAGCCGCGTATCTCTTGAAGGCTACAGCAAATCTGGGAAATGTTTTGCTTCAATTCTGTCAAACCTCGACTCTTGTCGATGAGCGATTAGATTTTGCCGTTGACTTTGTTCTCTTTTTCTAAAGGATGTTTTAGGTTTAAATTTGTTGTGAGCATTTTGTTTTTAGATTCACTGGGTATTGAGCATAGTTTCTGATACTTGTCTGTAATACCTTATGCTTATTCCACAAGGAAATGCATGCCCAAGCATCAGGCACTTCATTGTCCAGAATTTTCATACAGACTAATCTTACGGTTTTTATAGGTGCTAAGAAAGATGAGATAGTTAGAAAGCGTACAATTGCATCTTCGAACGACAAAATCATTTCGTGAGTTAACTGAAATGATCAAATTTGTAATGTATTCCAAACAATTTAAATCATTTGCAAACCAATTGAAATAAATTCCTTTTTAATGAAGTTCATGCAAAATTAAAGAAGAGTTTTTCTATTAGAGAAATGTTGCCCAATCCTCTCCTCTTAAACCAACTTTAAGGAAAATGTGTGTTTATCTTACAGTGTTGTATTAGTTTGTTCCAAATGGAAATCACTTTTTCATATGGGCATTTCTGATAAGAAGTGTTTACTGCGTCATTCTTTGGAGTCAAATAGGTTAGGTAATGGGAGAAATTTCATAGAGAAAAAAAAAAATTAACCCAGAAAAATTCGGAGTGCATGGTTGAGTAATGATATATGCAATAACTTGATATTTTTTCAAAACTTTGATATTCAAGGGGTTAATGCATATGGGCACTTATGTTTATTCTTTCATTTCAGAGGCAGGAAAGCTTGCTGGCTTATACAGTGCAATGATTGTGATTTTGCTGAAGAGTACCCTGCAAATCGTAGCTTTGCTTCAAATCACATTAGTAGAATTTGGGGGGAAATCTACTTCTATTTATTTTCTTTAACATAAATAAGCCTAGGCGTTGCTCGGGGATGAGTACAGCTAAACAACCATGAACCATATCAACCGCAGTACATCATCTCAAACTTCGACTTCAGAGAAACCAAATTATAGATGGCCTCTCATTCCTCTTTCTGTCCTCATTATTTTGCTTTCTTTCCTGATTTTTTATTACTACTCTCTGTCTCTGACCACCAATGCTCACTTTCCTGCATCATCCAAAACATTAAAATTAAAGTTCACTCGATGTTCCAGCCAAGCACTAGCCTTAAGTGAGAAATTCCTGTGGTATGCACCCCACAGTGGGTTCAATAATCAGCTCTTGGAGTTTAAGAATGCTATTTTGATGGCAGGAATATTAAATCGAACTTTGATTGTTCCTCCAATTCTGGATCACCATGCTGTTGCTCTTGGTAGCTGTCCCAAGTTTAGGGTTTTGGATCCTAATAAGCTCCGGATTTCTGTTTGGAATCACGTGATTGAACTCATTCAGAGTGGAAGGTTAGTGAGCTCTGTTATTCTGTTGGTCTACTTATAAGCGTCTGTAGAAATGGCCAAGAAAGAAGTATATGATGCCTCGCTATTGTTGAGAATGAGATATTAATAATTCAGTGAACCTTTGATGGACCGGATAAATTGTTAGAATTGAGATAGTGAGGCTAAGATATATGCAGTATACTTACCATAATGTCATCTCTCCTACCACGACTTTTCCATTTGACTGCTTTATATTTTTAAAATGGGAGCTTATCTTTTCATATATTGCGTTTTTCTTTTTGTGACGAGAGGGTTATAATTCAGAAAGTAATTACATCAAACACTGCAGATAACCCAAAAAAATTAAAAAAATAGACAAGCCATATAAAGCTAAGCAGCGTGCACACTTCTTGCTCTCCCTGTAGATGTGCAGCGCATCCACTCTCCATTCTCTTGAGAGAAGCTTCTGAGTTTTTATCCCAAAAAAAGAGAGAGAGAGAGAGAGAAGCTTCTGAATATCTCCAAAATTACTGTAAATTGCATTCTTTCGTATTCAATCCTGTGTGATCAGTTGCATTACAGCTTGGTTATCAGATTCCATGATTACCTACAGATGACCATGTACTTCCTTTTTATCTCGGGATATATGGGTATAATGAGATTGTATTTAGAAACTAAGTTCTAAAGGATTGAGATAGTATTCTTCCTTAATTTTTGTGACATAGAAAAGGTGTATTCCACATTATATTTCACTTGCTCATCTGTGTGAATTAAGAAATCCCATTTAATTTTGTTTCTTGCAGGTATGTTTCCATCGCTGAAATTATAGACATCTCACCATTAGTTTCTTCCTCGCTGGTTCGTGTGATTGATCTCAGGGATTTTGTGTCAATATGGTGTGGTATCAGCTTAGATTTGGCTTGTTTAAATGATTCAAAGGTCCAGTCGTCTTTTAATATCAGACAAAAGCAATGTGGTTCCCTGTTAGTGGGTGTCCATGGGAGTGTTGACAAGTGCATATATGCTGTCAATGAAGATTGCAGAACTACAGTATGGACTCGCCATATTGGTAATGAGGATGGACTGTTAGATTTGTTCCAACCTGATGAGCAGCTGAAGAAGAAAAAGAATATAACATATGTTAGGAGACGTAGAGATGTATTCAAGACTCTTGGACCTGGTTCTGGGGCTGAGTCAGCCTCACTGCTTGCATTTGGAAGCCTTTTTACAGCCCCATACAAAGGTTCTGAGTTATATATAGATATCCATGAATCTGTTCAGGACCAAAGGATCCGATCTTTGATGGAGAAAACTAAATTTCTTCCATTTGTCTCCGAAATTACAAGGGCCGGAAAGATGTTTGCAAATGCGACCATAAAAGCTCCATTTCTTTGTGCACAATTGCGATTGTTGGATGGGCAGTTCAAGAATCATCGGAAGGCTGCATTTCATGGTTTGAAGCAAAAATTAGAATATTTACAGCAGAAAGGTCCTCTACCTATACATATTTTTCTAATGACTGATCTTCCTGGAGAAAATTGGGCTGACACTTACTTAGGTGATCTAATAAGCGATTCGCTTCACTATAAGGTATATTTCTTGAGAGAGGATGATGAGCTGGTCAGACAGGCATCCAAACAGCTCAAGGAAGCTGGTTATGAGCAGAGGTTTATTCCATATTCGGACAAAGCAGCTGATAAAAAGTATTGTTTCAATCAAAGGTTACCTGATGTACTTCTTTATGTGGAGCAGGCAGTATGCAGCTGTGCTACGCTAGGCTTTGTTGGAACTGCTGGTTCAACTATTTCTGAAAATATAGAGCTACTAAGAAAATTTGGCATGTGTTCAGGTCAAAGTTGACAGCTTTGTGAAAATGGCTTGCAAAGTTTTAAATTTTGTTCGATTGATGGAGGGCAAGTTCATCTGAATTTTGCACCTTAAATCACGTCGCACCAGAAAGCCATGTTTCTTGTTCTTGTTGCTTCAGGTGATCAGTCTGCAACGCTAATCCCAGCCATCAAGTCCTTGTCAAAGTCAAGAGACAGCACGATGTCAAGGGCCTCGTCTGGATTTTGATTCAATAAGATCGTATCATTTTCATCCCAGCCATCCATCTGTCTTGTGAGTTGCGAATAAATGGCTAGGATAGATTCTTATTGATCAAAATTTGCCTTTCCCCACTATAGGTATGAATCTTCGCCAAAGTTGTTGGCATAAGAAACAAATCCTCCTAGTCCACTGGTCAGAAGACAGAATGATGTAATTCTGCAGAAAACAGTGAAAAAATAGATGAAAATTATTGTCTTTCGAGAGGATAGTCTATCTTCTCCGTAGTGTTGATACTTCACAGGAAAGTTTCTCCAGCCATTTTCAAAAAAGTAAAATACTTGTGAGTTACAAACTCACAATGTGAATTTTGTTATCATAGATAAAAGTTCAGTTTCTGGCGGACTTGTTTCCTATTCATGTCTAACGGAAAATAACCACTTTAATGATTGTGCCCATTTAATTTCATTCTTGTATGAAGTTTTTACTGTCATAATTTTTATTCAGCATGAGGTTCCTGTTGAGGATTCTGCCAATTTGAATTTTTTTCCCCCATCATTGGTTCATTTTGACTTTGTTATGAATAATTGCTAGTGCTGTTTATTATCAAGCATAAATGATTGTGCTTCTATATGGACCACTCTGGTTATTAGCATTTTGTGGCTGCATGTGCTCGTCGTGGAACCAAGGCAGTGTTTGGTTCAGAGTTTTTGGGGGAGGGGAAGGAGAGGGTAGGGTGGTAGGGAAAGGGGGTAAGTGTGTTTAGTTGGCAAACAGGGGAAGTGGGAGGGAAGGGGAGTCAAATTTTTTGTCATTTTCCCCGGAGAAAAAATTTGTCCACAATGTAAGTGACTTTTCCAAATATTTTTAATTTGGATTTTTTCCCCCAATTTTCCCCTTATCTTTTAATATTCCATAATAACTGTTCATTTCCCAAATTAGCAGTTCTCTCACTTTTCTCTTCTTGGCTCTCTTCTATATTTCACGTGCCAACTAGGCTGGTCAGCAACATGAATTATCTGTTTAATTAACTTAAACTGACAGATTATGTTTTTTTAAAATTTTTTTTAACCAGTTAGTTTCTTAAGTTTCTCATCCCCGACTTTATTTTCTTGTTATTTTTGGGAATATGATTCCACTAGTCTAATCTAAATTTGTTATAAATAAAGAAATCTGTTTCCATTTTTATAATAAAATTGATTTGATATAATATGAAGATATATTATTGTTATTGAAGCTAAAATCTGTTACAATTAATACAAGGGTATATTTGTTCATATGGCTTTAGCTGTCCATCCCTGGTCATTAAAGTACTTCTCTTCGAGTCTGTTCGATCTGATCCCCCTCCTCTACCTTTAAACGACACCGTTTTCCCTGTAAGTGAAAATGCACAGCTTTAACTTGGCGTCCATTGCTTCCTTTCAAGAACTTCACTTCTGATTCTATTCATCCTTCCCCAATCCCACATCATCTTCAGGCAAATTGGAGATGGAATTTTTTGATCAGAAATTTCTATTTCTAATTACTGACGGAATATTCTATAGCCAATCTGTGATGGGATTTTTTTATGAGAAAATCCTAAAAGAAAGACCACTAAAATTAAAAAATTGTATGCAAAGACCCGTTCACAAAAATCATTATAAAAAACTATATTATTATTTTCAAAATACATACTAATGTTGTAACGGATCCCTAATTATAATTTTTCTATTTCGGTGTTTTTTTTTGCGATTTTCCTTTTTTTTCATCTAAAATGTATCGCTAGTCACATGCAAAAATTTCGTTAGAAATCCATCACTAATCAATTAACAACACAAGTCCATCACTCAACAAAGATGCCGTTGTTTAATTCTATGAGTAACCACAAGTCGTTTTGGAGCGTCTTCAAGACCCAACACCTTCACGCCTGCCCAAGGACTATCATTAAGGTTACGTCATTATCCCAAGGTTCAGAGCGATCCAATGAGATATGCCATGATTTGATCTCCTACCTCGTAAATGTAACTATAGCAGAGTCTCCTCTTTTATAAAAGTTGCGATAGGAACGTCAAGGCAAGGTAGTGATTTTAGCTCCCCCGGGGGGGGGGGGGGGGAGTACTGGTGATTTTAGCACCTAGGCGTTAAAGCTTGATGTCAAAAACTTCACTTGGGCAACAACAATTCTGCCTGGGCGGTTAATATAAGTTACTACCTCCTATCCTAATTATAAGAGCCAGTTGACTAATTTGAAGAGATTAAGGAAGTAAATTGAGTTAGTTATTTGTCCTAAATAGGTGTTGTTTTTCCTAAAATATTCTTACTAATCAAGTGTATTGACTAGAACTATCATTGTTAGATATGTTACTTTGGAAAAAATGTATAAATATGAGAGATAAAGTAGATTGGGGTCTTATATTTAGAACCAAAATAAAAATCAAATAGGGTCTTATGTTAAGAACCGGAGGTAGTACTTGACATTGTCGTACATTAAAGAATATGTTAAACTGAATTTTTTTAAATTTTTTATCCTTATAAAAGTTTTTTCACTCTATATTTATAAATTATTCTTATATTTCCCTCTCTTTTCTCTCTGAGAATTAAATAAGATTCAAATTGAAAAACAAACATTAAATACACTACAAATGACTTATATTTAAAATCAAAACTTCCTCCTATAAGTAACTTACATTTGGAACCAGAGTGGTATATGGCGAATTTCATTTATCCAACCTCGAAAACCCAATTATTTATGATAAACAATAATTTATTAAATAGGTTGTTACCCACTCTTCATTTCAAAATAATTATCACTTTGAAGGTTTATTTTTTCCTCCTAAAATGGATGTCATTTTCTTCCTCCTAAAAGGTGATTTTGTGATAACCCAAATGACACACTTGAGAAGGTGTTAAGTATAAAAGAGATGTACTCCAGCTAAACAAACTTCCTTATTATAGTAGTTTCTGAACTAGTTAAATTTAATTACTTCTTGATGTACAAGATTTCCAGAGTGTCACTCCTTAAAAAAAGAACCCCAAATTGTGAATCCAAAAGAGATAAGAAATATTTGTTTTATGACATTAATACACACACACACACAAGGCTATTTTAGTAAAACATCCTTATATTACTGTCAATATAAAATACAAAATTTATTATGATAAGCTTATACCATTTATAATCCAGGCTAAAAGCAATTCACTTTAGCTAAGATTCAATGTATGAGATTCGAAAATGCATCTAATTTCATGTTAACATAAATTATTTTTTGACCAAATATTAACACTAATAAAATAATTTATTAAAATTTATAAATTACAAACTAAATATTAACACTAATAAAATAATTTATTAAAATTTATAAATTACAAACTAACTGACAAAATTTAAATAATTTAAAATGGAATTTGCATGAGACTGTATAACTAACAAGCTTCTCTGGGAACAAGAGAGTCAATCCAAAACCCTATTATAGAGCAAACTTTTCCCACCTAATTATATCAGTCAAGGATGGTTTAAGCAAGTGGTTTTCAACTCTTATGTTTGAGATAAATTTCGTTTAGGAATTTATCATCAGGAAAATTACTATATAGTTTGAAGGAAAAATGTAATTACCAAAAAAAAAAGATCTTAATAACGACGTGAGCAACATAAACTTCTTGTTATTCCTATATTGCAACTTGTTATTACATGTTATTCAGTTATATATTGTCAGACTTTTCAATAATTACATTTTTTTCCCTAAACCTTATAATAATTCTCCCTCTATCTTTTGCTTCCAATATTACTCAATATTTAAGACAAATTAGTCTCCATTTCCGATTACAGAAAGATATATATGTGCTCACAATCCATGACTCAGCAAATTATATATCTTATACTATCAGGGTCAGATATTGTACTGCTGTGATGATCAGATACTGTGACTGGTATGATCATATCTTTGTTTTCTCTTAATTGTTTTCTAGTGCTTGTCTTTTATTCTCTCTCTCTCTCTCTCTCGACTGTGAATCCCACTATGAATTTAATAGCACTGTGTCTGCGTCTGATATGCATGCATGCATGCTATAAAAACTTCAGACGTCATTTTTGTCAACCAAATGCTTAATATATATATCAAATCTTTTTTTCTGCTAAAAAAATCTAAATTCGGTAATTAGTTATCTAAAATAATTCATGTCATGTGTTAGATTTCCTTTAAAGAAAAAAGAAACAGCAAACAAAGATGATCTTTCTGCAGAAGCTTTTGTTATATAAAGAGAACCCTAACCCTAGAATCCCTATAGATACCAAGCTGGTATGAGTTCAGAGTATTTATAAACAGAGTTAGAGTAAGAAGAAGACATGGGCGTACAGTTAAGAAGCAGAAGAAAAGAGGGAATAAAGCTTAGTTTGGTGTGTGCTGCAAAACACGAGGACACAAAAGCTGTTTGTTGGGGAAGAAATTAAAGGCAATATGTGACACAGCTTGAAGGCTATATATGTAATAAGAGGCTGATGAGCTTATGAGAGAGAGAGAGGGATTCTGTGCATGCAGGAGTACGAATAATACTCACATACAGAGAGAGAGAGAGAGAGAGAGAGTTACACGTACTCTCTCTACCTACTATGAGGCTACCCTCAACTGTGAAAGATATTGCATAAACAGTGTCATCTTTATTGGATTTCTACACACACACTCACAAACTGAAGGCAGTGTGATGTGAGTGTGTGGGAGTGAGAGTCTGCTTGACGGTGTGTGTTCTTACAGGCTTTTACAGGGATAGACTTGTCTATTTTTCCTAGCAGTAGTATGCAATTCTTATTATTTTATGAATCCACTATGTTAGCCGTGGATTTATAGTAGGTACTCCTTTATATTCTTTTTATAAACTCCAGTTACCTTGTAAACTTCAATTAATTACTTCTGTCTAAGTTAATAAACTTAATCAAAATTATTTTTTAAAATCTAAAAAATATTCTCAATAAAAATCATTGGTTAAAAGAGTTTAGTTTATTAGTAAGAAAATTTTATATAATTAGTTTGGGATGTTTGGTGAAAAAGTTAATGTGTTATACAAAATATTACTCCTACTGTTCCTAATATATGATCTAATTGTGGAGTTGATTTTGATTTTAAATATAAAACCTTTTTTTCTATATTTATCAATTTTTTTAAAATTAAATTATCTTTAGTAATACCCTCTCAACAATAATCAAATAGGAGAGGTGTGATGGGTATTAGGGAATCTGATTAGAGTGCTTTATAAAAATACGTCGTGTTTATTATAGCTAACTAACTATCTATTTTTTTTTACTATAATTAAATTAGATAGATTAGTCTTACATTGAAGGCCAAAGGAGTAAAAAGGCTTTGGTGAGTCATCTGGTTAGAACATATATCTCGCCACTACCATGCACGGTCTATTTTTGTTTTGATTTTTTGCTTTTGTTTTTATAATTACAGCCGATGTCTAAAGTCATATTGGA